TTTTTCACGAGGATTCTGAATATGTTATTGATATTCTAATTTGAGTAGATTATAATGGGCAATTACCTATTTTTTGATAAAGATACAGGCTTTCTGATTTTTGCAAAATAATGCATTTTATATAGGGATATAACAATATCAATACGGTATTGGAATCTTGATAGTGATCTTTGTAGTTTGACGAAAAGATCAACAAATCTATAGTTGGTTTTTCGAAAATTTCTGATGTTTCTTAGCAAACTACCAATATCAAACGGTATTGGTATTGTTACATCCCTAGTTTTATACAAAATACACTGTTAGTACTTGACATAAATCTTTATGAAAACAGGATGGGTCCTTAAAAAATTCATAAGCAAAATGATCAGGATAATGAGTTCTGAAAACCTTGAGAGTTTCACTGGATTTGGACCTGATCGTCGCATTGACTGACGATATCTCATGAATGCACCCTAATAAGATGTCTTCTAAACAAAAACACTGACATTTATTAATGGAAAATGATATTTTACAATTCAGAGGAATGTAATTTATACACAGACGAGTGATGCATAGCTGATTTCAGCTGAAAAAAAATATGAAAAGTTTCGAATCATAGAAACAAGATTATAATACCGGGATTCGATGGCCGATTTGTTTCATTTTCTGCCAGTATTGGACATAATCGCTCGCTGAATACGGATATTCGATTCTTCTTGTTTCCCATTCCGGTAAATCCCGTAACTTTCAGGCCGGAACTCGTGCCTTTGGGCTAAGAACTGGTCGGAAAGTCATTGAGAACAAGCATCTGAATTATAATGCTAGATAGAGCCTCTGTTGTAGTTTGAATATGCCAACAAGGAAATGGTTTTGTAAACTGAGATGTTAGGCGTTTTCATATTTCACTTGAAGCTACATACTGGAAAAGTTTCATGGAAATCCGTGATGTCGATTAAGCAGGATTAATCGCCCTTATCGTACAATCGCTATTGATACACCTAATACAAATGAGCGCTATCTTAGATACAAACATTAATTCATGTAAACCGTTACTGATTGCAGGAGTAGTCTTCATATATCCAACTAACAATATATCCAAATCTACGCGGTGTTAGAAGATTGCATCCTACTATGATTCGTTACTCCAAAGACTTGCCGGACTATCCATTTACGGCAACTTCCACATTATATATGAGTAAAGAGCACCGCTATAGGATAGTTCGAGGAAAAAATAAAAAAAAATAATAAATTTGATGGTAAAAAAAACTAAGTGTTGTATTCGATAGAACGGTATCGAATGCGTATGAAAGTAATATTTTCCCGATGCTTCCCTATGATCTGATAGATATCCACGAAAAGCTGAGGTAGCACAGCGAAAATTGTTTTGCTTTAATAAAATACTTTTGAAGAAAATATTTGTTATTCACACGCAGTTCGACAGAACTGGGCGAAGTTCGTCTTGCTAAACACGGCAAGTGTATGACGCTGAGGACTGAATGCTTTCCCTTTCCTTCTCCAATCAGGAACGTTCAATAGTTCGCTGGTGATTGCAATTTTCCATCATGTTCATAATCACATTTACCAATGTTCGTGTTTTATAGGAATAAATTGAAAACTTAATGTCAAAATTCATGAAAGAAATCTCTTTCAATTTTCAGATTACTTTCTACCTGTTTCTCTTGGATATCTAATTAAATTTGTTCAAATGAAACGTCTTCAAACCAAGTGCTCATGATTTTAATAAATTTCTAACATCGCTCTACACTTTTTTAATAAAACTGAACTTTCTCTTGCATAGAGAAAGATTTTCGTTTGACTTTTTGGAATATTACTTTGTTATATGAGATGAAAAAAGGGTCAAATTTTTTTTCAAGCGGTTTAGTTTCCATTGAGGTNCACAAAAAGACTGACATTTATTAATGGAAAATGATATTTTACAATTCAGAGGAATGTAATTTATACACAGACGAATGATGTATGGCTGATTTCAGCTGAAAAAACTATGAAAAGTGTTGAATCATAGAAACAAGAATACAATACTGGGATTCGATAGCCGATTTATTTCATTGTCTGCCAGTATTGGTCATAATTGCTCACTGAATAAGGATATTCGATTCTTCTTGTTACCCATTCCGGTAAATTCCGTAGTCTTCAGGCTGGAACTCGTGGTTTTGGACTAAGAACTGGTCGAAAAGCCATTGAGAACAAGTATCTAAGTTATTATGCTAGATAGAGCCTCTTTTGTAGTTTGAATATGCCAACAAGAGATTGGTTCTGTAAGCTGAGATGCTGGTCAATTTTGGAAAAGTTTCATGGAAATCTGTGATATGGATTAAGCAGGATTGATCGTCCTTATCGTACAATCGCTATTGATAAACCTAATGCAAGTGAGCACTATCTTAGATATAAACATTAGTCCATGTAAACAGTCGCTGATTGCAGGAGCAGTCTTCGGATATCCAACTAACAATATATCCAAATCAACATGGTCTAAAAAGGATTGTATCCTAATATGACTCGTCACCCCATAGACTAGCTGAACTATCCATTTACAGCGACTTCCACCTTATATATGAGTAAAGAGCACCGCTTTAGGATAGTTCGAGGAAAAAATTTAAAAAAATACTAAATTTGATGATAAAAAACAAAAAGTGTTGTATTAGATAAAATGGTATCGAATGCGTATGGAGGTAATATTTTCCCGATGCTTTCCTATGATCTGATAGAGATCAGTGAAAAGCTGAAGTAGCACAGCGAAAATGGTTTTGCTTTAATAAAATACGTTTGCAGAAAATATTTGTTATTCATACACAGTTCGACAGAACTGGGCGAAATTCGTCTTGCTAAACACGCCAAGTGTATGACGCTGAGGGCTGAATAGTTTCTCTTTCCTTCTCCAGTCAGTAGTTTTCAATAGTTCGCTGGTGATTGCAATTTTCTATCATGTTCATAATCACATTAACCAGTGTTCGTGCTTTATAGGAATAAATTTAAAACTTACGTTAGTGTAAAAATTCATGAAAGAAATTGCTTTCACTTTTGAGATTATTTTTTATCTGTTTCTCTTGGATATCTAAGTAAATATGTTCGAATGAAATGTCTGCAAACCAAGTGCTCATGGTGTTAATTAGTTTCTAATATCGCTCTACACTTTTTTAATAAAACTGAATTTTCTCTTGCATAGAGAAAGATTGCCGTTTGACTTTTTGGGATATTACTTTGTTATATGAGACGACAAAAGGGTCAAATTTTTTGCAAGCGGGTTTAGTTTCTATTGAGTTATAACAATAACAAAATTTAAAAAGTTGCTCTACCTTCAGTCTGAATATAGTTTTTCTTTAACTCCGTATAAAATTTTTTTATTACCTAAGTTTATGAAACAAACTTCTTTTACTTGTCAAAATGTTTTTCTTCTATTCGTATTTGAAATTCGATCGAATTTGCTCTAATGAAATATCTTTCAACAAAATATCAATGGTTTCAATATCGCTCTACACAAAAATTAGAACTAACCTAATGAACATTGTCAATAGTATTTCATTCCTAAACTCTTGTCTAAAACAAAAAAAAATTTAATATATTTCGGAAGCTCTCGGTAAGCTCTACAAATCTAACTAAAAAATAAGTTTAAAACAGTTTCAATGGCATGCAGAAAAATTGGTCTTTCCTCACCAGGTGGTCTTAGAAGGTAGATATTTGACACTTTTGCTATGATTTCTCGCGAAACAAAACAAATGAAAAATCGATTTTTTCAGAAGTGAATGGCAGTCTCTAAATCAATAAAAGAAAACAATTTTTAAAAATGGTTAAGTAGTACTCAACTTATAGCCATTTGTCTTCGCGGGATACAACGGTATCGTGGCCGTACACTTCACTCATATATGATATAATGGATATCGTTTACTTCTTCCTGGAAGAACTGCAAAATAGGCCGTCACGTTTTCAAAAGTGAAAAATTTTCGAAGTCTTTGGAATATTGTAAATTGTTAGCAAAATACAAAAAAAAATGTCACTATTGTGATATCACATAAATTCTGTCAATTATACAATTTTCATTCTTCTTTTTAAACTTCGTAGAAAGTACACAAGAGAAGTTTCATAAAATGTGGATGTTTCTCTTCTTCTATCTAGCCTCTGATAAGATATGTCATCGACTCCTTTAAGTTATAAAAATAAGAAAAAACTTAGAGAATAAATCTATCTACAAGCAGCTATTATAAGATTCTTATTCTAAGTGCTGCTCTACATGGATCCAAATGAGGTTGTGTCATGTTGAAATATTTGCTCAAGGTTGTCAGAAACACTTTCAAGGGAAACTATAATAATTCACTGAGCAAATTAATATGTTTTCGAAAATCGTATTTATTGACTGCATGTTATTTTAGGAAGTGCTCTCTTCCATGGGTAAAATATCCATACTAAAAGGAAACTCTGTTTCTTTTGTTGTTGATTTTTATGTTGCTGGCAACAAAAGAACAAAACTTCATTGTTTTATATTTTTTGATTAATACTTGAAAATAAGAGTCGACGACAATTTTCATTACAGGCAAATCGTGTAAGAGACTTCAATCTATATAACAGAACATTGAACGAAAATAATAAGAAATTCAATTAATATTGATACACACAAAGAAAACGAAAGAAATTCAATTACTTCTAATGTTTTTCATATATGTTCTGTTGACGGCAAGGTGAGTGATCAGTGTGTTTCAATAAAAACTTAGCTAGAGAATTTCTTTAATTTTCTTTCAAAGTCTATGTCACGATCCACTTCAAACTACAGGTAAGGTGTTACGTTGCTTTTTGAAGAAATACTTCTACTTTCTGATCCGTGTCGTGTCATAGCTCAATTAACAGCACCAGCACCCAGTTTAGCCTTGGCGACATGCAATTCAACTCTTTGTAAATCGTCATCTTTGCCGTGTTCTTCGAATCTCGATTGTGAATGTTTTCTATTGACTAATGCTGTGAATGGAACTATCTCGGGCATTTGTGGTATTGTCGCCCTTCCTTGCAGTTCAATGGTTCGATGCAATTCAGATAATGTTACATGTTCAATTCCACAAACAATTTGTGTTAGCGGTACACGATGTCAACAACCTGTTTGCTATCCAATGCCATTGGCTAATATTCAAATATGTCCTCCCTCAGCTCGTCCTACTAGTACAACAACAACTTCTAGAAGTAAGGAGTTTGGAATTTGTGTTGAGAAGATCTGCATGTTCTATTCCGTTTGATTATAGCGAGTTCTGCTACAACAAGAACGACAACAAAGACTTCTACAACAAGAACGACAACAAAGACTTCTACAACAAGAACGACAACAAAGACTTCTACAACAAGATCGACAACAAAGACTTCTACAACAAGAACGACAACAAAGACTTCTACAACAACCTCTACTACAATACGAACGACAACAAAGACTTCTACAACAACTTCTACAACAATTTCTACAACAACTCGTAAGAATAAACCACACGGTTTTCCTTCTTAAACTTGAAATTAGTGTCTCAAAGACTAGGTATGCCTCCGTACAGATGAGCTATATTCCAGTTGGACTTTGACATCTGTTCGATTGGTACCAATAGAACTGGCGGACAAGTCGATTTGGTAATGGTTATAACTGTAAGCTAGTCGAGACTGACTTACAGTGGTAACCACCACCAGTTTTGCGACTGGAACTGGTGCAGGCCTACTCAGATCGACTATATAAAAGGAGGCAGCATTTTCTCAAATCTCCCAATGTTTGCACTAGTATTTGAAATAGCACGGTTCACACTATGAGACTTATTATTCCTTGTTGGCTTGTCTATAGAAATAGTGCTTGTGAAAATCGATCAAAAAAAAATATCTTATCTAACTCAGAATTTTGAGCTCTTCACGAATATGAACTTTTTACGGGGCGAAAATGTGACCTATAGAAAAAAGATATTGATGCCGGGGCTAAAATTTACCATTTGCTGAATATAAATATTTTCACATATAGAATTTTTCATGAAGAAAGGCTTACCGAATCGCAAAATTTTCTTTACCATAGTAATTTGTCAAGCTCGATCTAATATTGCTCTCAAAAAACGAAAAATTGTGCAACAAAGTCAAAAACTCCAAAAATGGTCTATTTTTTGTCATTGTGAGGGTTTTTGCCTACATATGGATGGATTCCAGTGAGGACGTGGTAGAATTCAAATTATTACCAGCTTTGACTAAATTTCTGATTTTTGAGGAAGAAATTTATGGAAATGGTTAGAAAATAAAAAATAAGAAATTTATTCAGTGTGAGTCGATAGAAAATTTGAGTTTGCGAAAAAATCGAAAATGCAGAACGATTTAAATAACATCTCTAAAGTATAGCGCTAAAGGGTTTATTAGTATAGCCGCATGCAAATATACACATATTATGAAAAGAGCAGTCAGCGCCTTCTTCTTTCTTCAAACGTTGCCACCTTCTCTTCAGCCTGTTGCTTTCCTAAAAGCTTATGACTTCAACTTCGCTCTGCTGCTCCAACTAAAGGATTGGGCCTTCATGATTTCTGCATTTTTGGTAATATCTTAGGGACATTGTGTGTAAGTAAATTTCTGATTGTAGATGCCTGTTCAATATATACGAGATCGTCGATCAGTTTTTCAAAATTTCTGAGAAATAGATATTTTAAATAATTTTGACACGCAGATTGCAAAATTTGTACCAATTTGAAATTTGCTACCACTGATTTCAGTAAGAAGCAAGGTCTGCCGCAATGTCAAACTATACCTATAAGTGCAACTTTTCAAGCTCTATATAATGATGTTCTCAAACATAAAGAAAAATATTGCAGGACAGGATAAAAAAACTCAAAAAAATGCTATAACAGCATANATTGAGTTATAACAATAACAAAATTTAAAAAGTTGCTCTACCTTCAGCCTGAATATAGTTTTTCTTTAACTTCGTATAAAATTTTTGTATTACCTAAGTTTATGAAACAAACTTCTTTTACTTGTCAAAATGTTTTTCTTCTATTCGTATTTGAAATCCGATCAAATTTGCTCTAATGAAATTTCTTTCAACGAAATATCAATGGTTTCAATATCGCTTTACACAAAAATTATAACTACCCTAATGCACATTGTCAATAGCATTTCATTCATAAACCCTTGTCTACAGCAAAAAAAAATTAATATATTCCGAAAGCTCTCGGGCAAGCTCTACAAATCTAACTAAAAAATAAGTTAAAAATAGTTTCAATAGCATAAAGAAAACTTGATCTTTCTCCACCAGGCGGTCTTAGAAGGTAGATATTTGGCACTGTTGCTATGATTTCTCGCGAAATAAAACAAATGAAAAATCGATCTTTTCAGAAGTGAATGACCGTCTCCAAATGAGTAAAAGAAAACAAGTTTTAAAAATGGTTAAGTAGCACTCAATTTATAGCCATTTTTCTTCGCGGGATACAACGATATCATGGCCGTACTCTTCACTCATATATGATATAAATGGATATTGTTTACTTCTCCCTGGAAAAACTGCGAAATAGACCATCACGTTTTCAAAAGTGAAAAATTTTCGAAGTCCTTGGAATACTGCAAATTGTTAGCAAAATAGATAAATGTTACTATTGTGATATCACACAAATTCTGCTAATTATACAATTTTCATTCTTCTTTTTAAACTTCGTAGAAAGTACACGAGAAGTTTCATAAAATGTGGATGTTTCTCTTCTTCTATCTAGCCTCTGATAAGATATGTCATCGACTCCTTTACGTTATAAAAATAAGAAAAAACTTAGAGAATAAATCTATCTACAAGCAGCTATTATAAGATTCTTATTCTAAGTGCTGCTCTACATGGATCCAAATGAGGTTGTTTCATGTTGAAACATTTGCTCAAGGTTGTCAGAAACACTTTCAAGGGAAACTATAATAATTCGCTGAGCAAATTAATATGTTTTCGAAAATCGTATTTATTGACTGCATGTTATTTTTAGGAAGTGCTCTCTTCCATGGGTAAAATATCCATACTAAAAGGAAACTCTGGTTTTTTTTGTTGTTGATTTTTATGTTGTTGGTAACAAAAGGAACAAAACCTCATTGTTTTATATTTTTTGATTAATACTTGAAAATAAGAGTCGACGACAATTTTTATTACAGGCAAATCGTGTAAGAGACTTCAGTCTATATAACAGAACATTGAACGAAAATAATAAGAAAGTAAATTAAAATTGATACACACAAAGAAAACGAAAGAAATTCAATTACTTCTAATGTTTTTGATATATGTTCTGTTGACGGCAAGGTGAGTAATCAGTGTGTTTCAATAAAAATTTAGCTACAAAATTTCTTTAATTTTCTTTCAAAGTCTATGTCACGGTTCACTTCAAACTACAGGTAAGGTGGTACGTTGCTTTTTGAAGAAATGCTTCTACTTTCTGATCCATGTCATGTCATAACTCAATCAACAACACCATCACTCAGTTTAGCCTTGGCGACATGCAATTCAACTCTTTGTAAATCGTCATCTTTGCCATGTTCTTCGAATCTCGATTGTGAATGCTTTTCATTGACCAATACTGCTAATACAACTAGCTCAGGCATTTGTGCTGTTGCTGGTCTTTCCTGCACTTCAATGGTTCGATATAATTCAGACAATGTTACATGTTCGATCGCACAAACAATATGTGTTAACAGTACACGATGTCAACAACCTGTTTGCTATCCAATGCCATTGGCTAATATTCAAATATGTCCTCCTTCAGCTCGTCCTACTAGTACCACAACAACTTCTAGAAGTAAGGAGTTTGGACTTTGTCTTGAGAAAATATACATGTTCTATTCCGTTTGATTGTAGCGAGCTCTGCTACAATACGAACGACAACAAAGACTTCTACAACAACTTCTACAACAATTTCTACAACAACTCGTAAGAATAAACCACACGGTTTTCCTTCTAAAACTTGAAATTAGTGTCTCAAAGACTAGGCATGCCTCCGTACAGATGAGCTATGTTCCAGTTGGACTTTGACATCTGTTCGATTGGTACCAATAGAACTGGCGGACAAGTCGATTTGGTAATAGTTATAACTGTAAGCTAGTCGAGACTGACTTACAGTGGTGACTACTACCAGTTTTGCGACTGGAACTGGTGCATGCCTACTCAGATCGACTATATAAAAAGAGGTAGCATTTTCTCCAATCTCCCAATGTTTGCACTAGTATTTGAAATAGCACGGTTCACACTATGAGACTTATTATTCCTTGTTGGGTTGTCTATAGAATTAGTGCTTGTGAAAATCGATCAAAAAAAATATCTTATCTAACTCAGAATTTTGAGCTCTTCACGAATATGAACTTTTTACTGAGCGAAAATGTGACCTATAGAAAAAAGATATTGATGCCGGGGCTAAAATTTACCCTTTGCTGAATATAAATGTTTTCACATATAGAATTTCTCATGACGAAAGGCTTACCGCATCGCAAAATTTTCTCCACCATAGTAATTTTTTAAGCTCTATCTAATATTGCTCTCAAAAAACGAAAAATTGTGCAACAAAGTCAAAAACTCCAAAAATGGTCTATTTTTTGTCATTTGTGAGGGTTTTTGCCTACATATGGATGGGCTCCAGTGAGGACGTGGTAGAATTCAAATTATTACCAGCTTTGACTAAATTTCTGATTTTTGAGGAAGAAATTTATGAAAATGGTTAGAAAATAAAAAATAAGAAATTTACTCAGTGTGAGTCGATAGAAAATTTGAGTTTGCGAAAAAATCGAAAATGCAGAACGATTTAAATAACATCCCTAAAGTATAGATCTAAAGGGTTTAGTAGTATAACCGCATACAGATATACACATATTACGAAAAGAGCAGTCAGCGCCTTCTTCTTTCTTCAAACGTTGCCACCTTCTCTTCAGCCTGTTGCTTTCCTAAAAGGTTATGACTTCAACTTCGCTCTGCTGCTCCAACTAAAGGATTGTGCCTTCATGACTTCTGCATTTCTGGTAATATCTTAGGGACATAGAGTGTAAGTAAATTTCTGATTCCAGATGCCTGTTCAATATATACGAGATTGTCGATCAATTTTTCAAAATTTCTGAGGAATAGATATTTTAAATAATTTTGACATGCAGATTGCAAAATTTGTACCAATTTGAAATTTGCTACCACTGGTTTCAGTAAGAAGCAAGGCCTGCCGCAATGTCAAACTATCCCCATAAGGGCAACTTTTCAAGCTCTATATAATGATGCTCTCAAAAATAAAGAAAAATATTGCAGGACAGGATAAAAAAACTCAAAAAAATGCTATAACAGCATATATATCATGAATATGCGTTCATATTCTGAGGTTTTCATCATAAAAACTTCAATTTAAAGTGACATAAACGTCATATTCTACATTGAATAGGATCTCTAATATTTAAAAAAACTCGGTGAATTTCAGTGCCTCTCCTACCAAAGAGTGTCAATTCCAGTCCCAGAATCGCCACTTTTTCTATAGATCACATTTTTGCTCCGGAAAAAGTTTAAATTCGTGAAGTGCTCAAAATTCTGAGTTAGATAAGGTTTATGTTTTGATAAATGTTCTCAAGCACTAATTCTATGGACAATCCAACAAGGAATAATAAGTCTCATAGAGTGGCCCATACTATTTCAAAAAACAAAAGAGTTTTGTAAGCTCTCATTATGATATTCGTAATTAACACTCCTAAATCTACACCTGCATTAGTTTTAAATCGTTGAAAAAGAAAGTTTTTTTTCACGATATCTGTGGGGAACCTCAGTCATGAAAATCGTCAAGGTCGATTTTCAGGAAATAAGTCAAAAAATATGATCAGGAACCACTTCTTATTCGAATCTGATAGAAATAAATGAATTCTGAGAATGGCTGCAAAATAGCCTTACCCGCTCTCATTCTTTGCTGACAAGTATTGCACTTGAAGGTACTCCAAATGTAGGCTTCGTCCTTTTACTTGTATGGTCTATATCTCCAGAATGGCTTATCCGTTAGAGCTGAACTTTTTGCATTACTCGTAACTATGTTAGCCCTGCCTACTGTAAAAATATTGGTCAAATCGATAACATCGATTGAGCAGGAGTGGTAGTGGCTTATGTGCAATGGCTTTTTAAATACGAATTCAGGCAGGGAACGAATTCGAAATAATAAAAAAGAATGAGTCGATGGCAACGAATCAGGGATACTCTCTTACCAAAGATACAAGATCGGAATACATACATGACATAGGCATAGATGATGAAGGATGAGTTGACGAGACCGTATAAAGAACAGAAAACAGAAAACAAATTTTGATGGGCTAGATGATTGCTAACATCTCTTTGACCAAATTGTAATATAACTGCAATAGTAATCTGTGCAGAACTCAATGATCAAGTAATCCATATGCATATTTTTGTCTGAAATATTGTTGTTGTGCATCTTGAACACAAGCACCAACGTGTTGAAGGAAGGAATCGAACGTCGTGATCTCTGACCAATAGTTAGAGTTATAGAACCAATATTGCCATCTCTGAGTTAGAGCTTCTAATTATGAAGAATTAGTCGACTGATATGCGAACAATGGACAGGAGTTCCAGTTTCAAGTTCCTCTCCTAGGAACCAGAATTTCTCTGCCAGTTTCCGTTCTTCTGAACTCGCAGAAATTTGCCAAATATATAAGAACAAGTATAGCTGAACATTCCAACGTGTGTGTGTTTGAAAATGTTCCAAAAACGATTTGAAATATGGATACCCATTGCTAAGAAGCGTAACCCTCACAGACAGGAATCTTGACAACTCTAGTTTCGATCGTTCGATCAGCACATTGATTTTTACTCCACAATATTTATTATTGTTTTGGAAAGAACGCAGTTGACTGAATCCAGACTTGTTGTATAGGGAATGGATAAACTCGAGATCATCTGTGAGTTTTGGATGAGTGTGGGTGAGTGTAGACGTGTGGATGAGAATTAATAAAACATCAACATCCTCATCCATATCCATATCTACCGATACTTGTGTCAGTCTAAATGGTTAGGCTGGATGAGATCAGCTCATAAGCCTGCATAAGACATTCTTCATTTATTTGAGCTACAATAAGCAAATAAACCTGTAGATGAGTCATATTTGTATCTGATCAGTACAGTAATATAATGAAGTTTCTTTGTTACGTTTCGAACTACGAAGATGTCAATCAATTGCTGGGCCGCTATAGACTTAGATATTTAAAGAAGTTGTTTATCTGGAGACTGATGATAGCTAGACGAAGAAAACTCAATTTATCTTCTTATAGAAATACCATACTTTTGGTTGTTATAATAGCTCGTGCCAATTAATTCATGGATCACGGTATACGTAAGCGAAGGACTAAGGGAGACTGTGAATACGCGTATGCACCAAATCGATAATTTTATTCACACTTTAACTGTCAAATACGGTTTTCAGAACTGAAAAACCGCCAGACATTCGTTGGATAAATAGATTTTTAGTTTTGAGTTCATTATTAGAGTTTTTCATTTAATTAAAGAAGGTATATTAGACAACCAAATAACTTTATATTTTTGTAAATAATTCGTTTTGTTTTTTGCCAAACTTGTTGTAGGTCCTTAAAAGGATCGGGGTGGATTTCCTAGCAAAAGCGGCTCTATTTCAAAATGCTAACACAACACCCACTAATTATATATGATTACGAAGGTAATAAAGTCCAGTAAATATGTGGATTATAGTTTTGCTTATAACACTGATTTTGGTTCTCCTTCTACCCTGTATATAATGAGAATACGTATAAGCAGCTCATCCCAGATTTGTATAGCATCAAAATCTATTATTTCAAAATGTTTCGTCAGCNACTTCGAGTTTCTACATCTTATGATAGCAGATTAGAAGCAATGTGAAATTTGAATTGGCTACCTAATTTTGGATGCTCTATCTTATGATGCATTTAAAAAATTGAAAAAAAAAGAAGGTGCGCCAGGGTTTTTCAGGGTTTTCTAGAAAACCTTTTGAAGATCCTAAAGGATTCAATAAAAACAGAGTTCACCATCGCGTTCAACGCATCAAATAACCTATGTGCCAAATTTTAAACCCTGTAGAAGTGTTGAGAAAACCAGTCCTCTAACGTGTCTATCACTTTCGGTCTGGTTACACCATTAGACTGCTAATCACAGAAATGTTTATCCTGATTCCACATATCACAAGTATTTAGATTACCAAAGAGATGAAAACAAGGGTTATGTGAGGCGCTGAACAGAATGGCAAACTCTGTTTTTATTGAATCCTTTAGGATCTTCAAAAGGTTTTCTAGAAAATCCTGCAAAAACCCTGACGCGCCTTTTTTTTCGATTTTTTGAATGCATCATAAGATAGAGCATCCAAAATTAGGTAGCCAATTCAAATTTCACATTGCTTCTAATCTGCTATCATAAGATGTAGAAACTCGAAGTTCCTGGGATTTTAAGAAAAGCCAGTTTTTTAACTGTAATCTCAGATTTTGTAGTCGATGATGCTCTTAAGGAGCTTTGGTAGTTCATATTCGATAATATCACGTTGTTGAACCTATTGTGGAAGGCTTTTCATCAAGTTAGAATGATGAATGTAGAAGATTCAGAGCCAAAATTCTGTGCTATGAATGAAATGAGGTCCTCAAAAAAAGGCTGATTTGTTTTTACTGAAACGCTTTCAGGACTTGATATGTTGATATTCGTAATCAGCGCACTTGAATCTATAAATCGACATATGTTTTAATTGAATCAAAAGTAAAACGTTTTCCTGGGATCCTCGCGGGGGACCACAGGTCCCGACAACCTTCGAGTGATCTATTGCAGAAAAAACCTATGGAATATCATCTGGAGTCATGTGTCACTCCAAACCGATCAAAAAATGTTCATTTTATGGGGGCCGGAAAATGGCCTTATCCGCCTTCGTCCTTTTGATGGACTAGATGATTGCTGACATCTCTTTGACCAA